CCCTGTGCTAGAGTATCAATGCTGAATTATAGTGAAAGGTATGTATGTTATATACAGTGCATTCATAAAGTATTCAGATCCCCTTCACTTTTGTCAATTTTGTTATGCTGCAGCCTGATTCTACAGTTGTTGAAATTCATTTTTTCCTCATTAATCTACATTCAGTACTCCATAATGACAAAGTGAAAACATAATTTTAGAAATGTCTGCAAATTTATTAAAAAGAAAAAACTGAAATATCGCATTGGCATAAGTATTCAGACCCTTTGAAACAACACATGAAAATTAGCTCTGGTGCCTTCCATTTCTCTTGATTGTTATTGACATGTTTCTACCCCTTGAATAGAGTTGACCTGTGGTAAATTAAATTGACTGGATGTGATTTGGAAAGGCACACACCTCTCTATAGAAAGCCTCACAGCTGACAGTGAGTACTGTAGCAGAGCAAAAGCCATGAGGTGAAAAGAATTGCCTGCAGAATTCAGAGATAAGATTATTGAAAGACACAGATCTGCAGAAGGCTACAAAAAAAAATTCTGCTGCGTTGAAGGTTTCTAAGAGCACAGTGGCCTCCATAATTCTCAAATGGAAGAAGTTTGGCTCAACCAGGACTCTTCCAAGAGCTGGTCACCTGGTCAAACTGAGCAATTGGGGGAGAAGAGCCTTAGTATGAGCAGTGACCCAGAACCCAATGATCAGTCTGACTGAGGTCTAGAGAACTTGTACAAAGATGGGACAGAATTCCAGAAGGACAACCATCCACCGATCTGGGCTTTATGGAAGAGTGGCTATATGGAAGCCTCTCATCAGTGCAAAATACATGAAAGCCCAGGAGTTTGCAGAAAAAGCACCTGAAGGACTCTCAGACTGTGAGGAACAAACTCTAAGTGGGCTTTCACCTGTTTTTCACTGAGGAGAGGCTTCCATCTAGCCCAAGGGTCTTCAAACTTGGCAAGTTTAAGACTTGTGGAGTTCAACTCCCAGAATTCCTGAACTAACATGACTGGAGGAGGAATTCTGGGAGTTGAAGTCCACAAATCTTAAAGCTGTCAAGTTTGAAGACCCCTGATGTAGTCACTCTGCAATAAAGCCCAGATCAGTGGAAGGCTGCATTTTGATAATATGTGAATTGAAATCTTGGTACAACTTGATCCTTAATTATGAAGCAATCAGTTACTTAAAACTGCCCAGTTATGAATGGGTGATTGTAAAACCTGGAAATTATAAGTCAATAAATTACAAAAGTAATATTTCATTTTTACTTCTTGTTCATTACTATTAACCACTTACTAATTATTGCTAAATTATATACTATTACTTTCTAAGCACCTACAAAAGCTAGGTCTTTACTGGATTTTGCAGCCTCCCAACTCCAAAAACACCCTGGTGGCTTAACAATATTTAAAATACTTAATTTAAGAAATAAGACTTCCTAACATCTTAAATAAAACATCTTATATAAAATATAAAAACAAAATTCAATAGGCATCACAAAACCTCTTGAGAACAGAGCTACATTTTAAGAGAGTTTCAGAACACTTGCGTAGTGGCAAGCCATATATATCTTGGGTGTGGGATTTGGGTGTTGTTCCAGAGTGTTGTTGGGTGTTATTTCAGAGGGGCTGCAACAAAAAGGGCACATTTCTTGGTCCCACAAGATGATCATGTTTAACAGAGGTGGCCTGGAATGCACTCATGCTTCCCAGATATGCCAGATAGAAAGAAATAACTGGAGTTAGGTGGTCCCTTAAATAACATGGCATTACTCCATGAAGGGATTTATAGGTGATTACCAGCATCCTGAATTGCATCCAGAAGCTGACTGGTAACTAGTGCAACTTGTACAGCATCAATGATGCATGAATCAAACAAGAACTTGCATGTGTATATGTATGAATAGTAAGAAAGTAGTTAAATAAATAAATAGACAGACAGTTTGGTTTAGTGGTTAAGGTACCAGACTAATAATGGGGAAGCTAGATTTCTAGTCCTGGAAGTCAACTAGATGACTTTGGACCAGTCATTATATCTCAGCTTTAGGAAGCAGCATGGCAAACCATTTCCAAAAAATGTTGTATGCACAAACCCACACACATACTAATATATATACTGTATAAATGTTGTATGTGCGCGCGCGCACACACACACACACACATGCATACTACAAAATATTTCAGGTGCTTGGTAGATAATGTATTTGAAATGAAACTTGTGACAAAAAGTTACATTTGGATTATTTTTGCACAGGCTTCTAACTATCTAACCATGCAATTTATGGGCTATCATAGTGTTTTTCATTAGTGGAGGCAATAAGGAAAAAGGACAAAGGAAACAAAATATGCATGATTATGTTTGAATGCAAATACATAAAGGCAGAATTTGCATGATGACATCACTGTATATGTCATTTTGGCACCCACAATTCTATGCCTCCTTTGTTCTGACTTCTCTCATCAGTTGGTCAAAATGTTAAAGTCACCAAACATGTGAACTCTTTTAGAGTCCTCCATTAATATATGAAACATAGGTAAATCTATAAACAGCTACCATGTATGCACTTACAGATGCATTGTTCTGCAAGCTCATGGGTTCTCCACAATCTTTTTTCATTTATTCATGATTATTTTACTACATAAAGATTGGTATTTAGACAACTAAATTTGCTCTTAGCATATGTAACATGGCACTTTATTGTTACATTGAACTTGGACCTCGAAACTTGTATCTTCTATTTTGTGAGTGAAGATCTCTGTAAGAAGTGCTTTTAAATGAGAGAGTCCATTTAAGTTTTACTGATTCAAGGTAAATTGCAATGGCAGTATGAACTTTTCTTTTATAAATCACTGTACCACATTCTACCAATTCACTGGTACATTAAAATTGGTGCATTAAAATTGGCAATGGCAAAAGCATGAATATTTGTTTCATGTTGGAGAGGTGCTAAACTTCACTTTTCCAAGCGCACATTGCAAACATTCAAAACAATGATGGAGAAGTGACGCCATGTTTCCATAACCTCTTTTTATGTGTTTTTCTCTTTTGTGTTCTCTTCCAGCATGTTGTTTTCATTGTAAAATTTTTTGTGGCCTGGATGATTCCAGATGTCCCATCTGAGGTGAAGGCCAAAATAAAACGTGAGAAGTACTTAACACAAAGAATCTTACATGAGTATGAACTCAATAAATTGAAACAGAAGTTATGTGAAAGTAGGACCTGTGCCAGCATGGAAAAGGAAGTTCTAGCTAGTGAAGGAATAGTGGAGTTATCAGAAGCCATGGAACTCTAAGAGTGACACTTTGCCTGGAATCCCAGCCTGTGAAAGTTTGTTGTCCAGAATATCCAATGAGCTCTATCCATAGTATGCCTTGAAAGTTTTCTGGTATTTGTAACCAATCTACTTCCTAAAAATATTTAGGAAGGAGACAATATGGTTTGACTGTTGGGCAGTCAACAGATCCTTTCCCCCCTTTATTTGGGCTCTTTAACTTTGAAGGCTTCAGTTTAAGGCATGGCATTCTCTCTTCCACTGCCTTGTCTTTGTGTGATTATGCTTTCTTTGAAATACTATTATCTTAAGTGTTTTTGTGATGAATAGTTCCCAGATTTCTGTGCTGTAAGCAGGAATTCAAAGTCAATCAAACTGCCAAGACTGAAAAGGACTTCCCCTCATTAGGTTTGGAGAGTTGCCAAGAAAGATACAAAATTCTTCCAACCCGGATTTTTATGAATGCATGTATAAATCAGATGATAAGGCCAAGAGTCTGATGTGAGGTCTTCCACTTATTGCATGGTGCTATAGATGGAAAGGAAATTGTGTTATTTTATCAATGTCTTGGGATTTTAAAGAACATCACATATTATGGTTGCCCTTACTCATTTTAATATACCTCTTCCTAAATTTAAAGTCATAATCAGCCTATTAATAACCATTAGCTTTGAGAATTGAGACGATTTAGCAAAGCAAGTACATATATATTAGAGAAGCTTTTTGGGAAAGTTTCTTCCAAGAGGTAGATTAAACATAATGTTAGAAAATCAGATGCCTTGCTCAGTATTAAAGAAGTACTATTCTGTAATTCTCTCCTTTCCCATAGGAGCTATTGTGTTCTTTTTAAGCTTTGGTCTTCATTAAGTATTGAAGCATTTAATACTTGGAAAATCTTACACATATCATGAATACATTTCTGTTGCACGACTATGCACCTTTAAATGCCTTTTTGAGGTGGACAATCTATTTGCCTGCTTTTAAAGGCTCAAATAATTACATTATAGATTATTTTTCAGTAGGGTACAATTAGAATTTGATTACCTTCTAAATCAAAACTTAAAACTAAAATTAATGTGAAATTTAGTTGGAAATTATTTGATAAAAACCCAAACCACTGAATTGATATGATTTTTGTCCACTAATATGCTATTTTAACATAATTGAATATTAAAATAGCATATTTTTAGATACCTAAAGAAGGGCTATCAGCAAAGCCATTTCTTGTGACTCTGCCTTAAAAGTTGATCTGTTTCTTTGTAAAGAGTATGTATCCTTAGTAATTAATGAATGAAAAATTATGCACATTGTTGTAGTCAGAGTCCCAATTCTAAGAAATCATGATTGTTTAAATATTGTAAAGGAATGTTTCCTTAGAAGGGTATGTTAAAACAACTTTGCAGATTTATTGTCTTATTTATCAGTTTTATGTGTCTTATGTATGTGAAAATAATTATAAGCCTTTTACATTTGGTTTCCTTGTTTTGTTATATACTTTTAAAGAATTGCAACTATTTTTGTAAATTCACTACAATTTTATAGCCAAATCTATTCTGCCATTGCTTATTGCTATTATTGCCAGTGCCTTGTGTATTTTCACTTAAGTAACAAAGAATGGATGTGAAAGTGCTAGTTCTCTTAATCATATAGCATAATGTGATATACAAATCAGTTCACAGGTATCACTTGGTTAACAGCTTTTATATTCAATCATGTCAATCAGTAACTTATCCAGACAGGAGCAAGTTTTGCAAACTTCCAGTTGAGTTAATTCTTTATAATGCAATTGAATTGTAATCAAGGTGTATAAACATTACTGGATTTGTCAGTCAAAATGAAGCATGTTGGACATCATATTTCATCATGATGAAGTATTTGTATTAATCAGCTGTTAAATATTGGAAATGACAGTCCGCATGTGAATCAGAATTTCTATTTCTGATAGTAAAATATACCTTCAAAATACTAAATGGAAAATGTTTAATCAATGAAAACGTTATTTTTGATTAATAAACGTAACATTATTCCCAGTTTTATGCATACAGTGCTGCATAAACTGTACAAAATCCAAAAATGACTATGCACAATGATACTGGATGTCATTTAATTTTCTTCACTCAAGTTTTTCTGAATCGAATCATTTTATAGGTTTCGAATAATATTAACATAGCCTCAGAGCAAAATATTTGGATTTCAAAACAGATTTCAAAATTGGTATCAATATATTGCAGACTCTTCCATCTTTTTTCATATGCAAATACATAAAATCTTTGGCTTATGCTATAACTTGTTTGTTCAGGATAACCAGTTGCCTAAGATTGGATGTCAGTAATCATCATCCTCTCATCCAGTATCTTATTTATGCATAGGTCATTGAATCAGTGCATAACTTATGGTGTTGGATGTATGTTTGGGAAAATAGTGTGACAATAATTATTGTCTTTTGAATTGTACCGAGAACTAACCTTACCATCTTTCACAGATTTTGAATCAAATTTTTATCATCCTTAAACAGCCTTGTTTTTGTTACTATTTATGATTAGTTTAATGTGCTAAAGAATACCATTTTAATGCAAAAAAATATATGCATGGCTAAGATAAAAATACATAATGTGAATTTCAGTTTGCCAAAGAATGCATTGCAATCACCAAATGTCTATATATGTAGCCATGAACTTACCCACTTTATAACTGAACATCACTGCTTCTTTCTTTATAAAAGTTCTTATAAAACAAAATGGACAATATGCACTATTTGTATCAATGCCATATCTAAATCCTTGTCATAATACTTTATGGAGCAAACAGTACATTTAACACTATCCTGGTTTCATGAATTATTAAAAACTCTCTTTGTATTTCAGGTGTGAAACGTTTGTAGGATTTGTTTGACTTTTTAATGTGTCATTCTAAACATTTTGTATTACACTGAGGTTTTTTTAAAGGAATGAGATGCAAAGAGGAAGAATGAAATAGTATGTGGTTGTGTCATATTCCACCATACGTTGTTATTTCACAAGTTCAGATCATTTTCATAGAAGCAGACTCTTATTGTTTCTCTGTCCAGGGTCACTGAAAGCAGGGGAATGGGTAAACAATGTTTAAAATAAATTTATTCTTAAAATGTTTATTGCATGGCTTGCTGTTGCTGTTTGAGTCATAAGTGTGTACCAAAGCCAGAGCAGTATCTATATAGTGCACCATATTTTTGAACAATTATTTCCTTGGCTCATTTGGGAAAAAAAAGTAATTGGTTTTTAATTTGTACATAAGTGCTATGACTTTATTCCTTGAATCTATACATTATTGTCTATAATAAGTCCCGTTATGTTCACCGACAGTCGCTTTCTTGTGTGTATGGAATTGCAACTAGAGGCATCTCTTACAGAATTCTGGACTACAGAAGTCAGCTATATGCTGATTCAATGAGTAGCGTGAATTTTCCAAAAATTAAAAGAATGAAAAGAGTAAGGTGCCAATTTTAGGGCTACCAGAGCCAGAGCCAGGTTGCAAAAATTCAATTGATTGGATTATCTTAGCACCAGAATTCAACTTGCTTATATCTTTCTGCTTCCTTCTAGTGTCATCCATATTTATGTAGCCTTAAACATGCATTCATAGTACACTTTTGTCAGTGTCTTATTACCAGTTAAATATTTTTTATCATCTACTAACACAATTTTAGTATAGATTGTGGTAGACAAATTTCCTACCTCCATCTTGTGTTTGTTGTTAATGCATACTGTCCCGTGGCTCATACACCATACTGTGCAAATACCATTTTATGATAGGTTGAAACTATCTCAATTTTGTTCTGCAAAGTTAACTTTCAAGTACTGCTTTTCTGTCTACTAATGATCAGTCAGGTTTTTTGTGGCTCAGATTTGATATCCTATCCAAACTGCATTGAGCTCATGCCACATTTAAGCAGAATACATATGGATATTCTTTAGTGTATGTTGGACCTAATCTTGACCCAGTCATAAATAATACACATACATCTTTTGTAAATCCATGTATCTCTTAAAACAATTGCTATTTCTCAGAAAAATGCTACATTTCACAATTCTTAAGTGTGGGTAAATTTCAGGTAAAATCCACGTAAAGTTAAAGATACTACCACATATTTCATATTAATGTGGTATGTTCCTTTCCTTGAATAAATAATATACAGGACATGATATATAGATTCCAGATATATTTGCTTTTTAGCTGAAGAGATTGCTTTCATATAAATCATCTAATATATACGTAAGTTGTTATCATGATAAGATCTGCAATACAGCCTGTGGAATTTCTTGCTAACAAGGATTCAAAATGTAATTCAGTTATCGGTAAGTTTTTTGGGGGGTAGGGAGGATTTGCCATTTCCCCCAATGGCAAATAAGTTCAGCTTATTCTGTGACAGTGAGAAACTAAATCTATAGTTTTTGCTATTATAGCTCTGCGGCAACTTTAGAAAGGGCTTTAGCACGGTACTCAGAGCTGAATGTTGTGCACTGCAGTCATGTTCTAAATAGGTAGGTGTATTTTAAATGTTAATCTTTGCAAAAGCGTCCTTACGATGATCCTTCTAGGTAATGAAGAACTAAAGATAACTAAGATCAGGGTCCTTGCAGGGGAGGTAAACATCAAAATGGCAGCTGCCATTGTCCAGAGTCCTGCCCAACTCAATGTGTGTAATACATGTGGTTGCAGCTATCATCCCAACTTTTGATGGACTCCTGCCTATGATTCAGTAATCCTTTTCCCTATTCCTAGTTGTGAGGCATTTCTGCCCATCCTTGAAAAAGCAGTGAGCTTTCATGATGACTGGAATTAAGGGAAAAATGATCTAAAATATCTCAACTAGCTATATCACCAGACCATTGGTCTGATAGCTGTTGGTCAGGGCAATAAGTACTCAAGACGATATTAATCTACACTTGCATTACTCTGAATGCTGTTCTCTTGGTTCTTTCATTATAAAACAGAGAAAATCAATCCATGCCCAAGAGAATAATGAAGGAAAATAGCTAAAATGGTATTTCCTTTGTTTCTCTGCCAATTACAGAGGGAAGATACTGTGCTCTATTTATCTGACTGATAACACTTTTCTGTTTATAGTATTTCTAATACAAAGCATAATTTTAACATAATTAGAAGGGCAGTTGCTAGGCATAGTTAAGGAATACCTTAGGAAACACCAATAATATTTTAATCTGCTAGATTATATATGGATAAAAGTTGTGCAAATCCTTCAAAAGAACTTTTAGAACATAAAAGAGCATGAACAAAGCATCTATTGAAAGATTTGCTCAGTGCTAATTTGTTTCAGGAATAATAGTTATGTTCAAATAACTACATGGGGAATGATATCAGATTCCTATGAATACTGACTTAAATAGTAAGACATATTAAGATTCCATGATTCAAAAAATACCAGAAAAAATACAAAATACATAAGGGATTTTATAGTACTGCACAGTAATGTATGTTAATGAAATTCTCCAAAGAAATATGCAAGACATGTAGGTGAAGTTGATACACTTTAGGAGTTAATGAATTAGTATTAGACAAATTAACCTAATGATCCCCCCCCAATTAGGGAAATAAATTAGATATATTGTGGTTAATGAGAACTACAAATCTAACTTGCAGCAAAGTAGTGAAATTTTACATGGTACAGAAGTGATTCTGTTCACATTGTAGAAGAAGCTATTTCTGGATAGTGTTCTTTATTGTCTACTTATAAAAGTAATAGGATTCTTACAATATATATTTTAGGGCTGTGTTATTTCTTCATTCTATTTCTGCCTTAAATCCCAAATTCTGGATCTGTGACAATGGAAGAAGCAATGCCACAGAATTACAATCCTATTTATTTCTTTTTTTAAAAAAAACAAAAACAAATTTTAACAGTTTTTCACATAAAAACAAAAATCCTCTTTTTAGTGGACAACATATTTCCGGGTCATCACTTTTACATACAAATATGACAGCAATTATACATTCATATATGCATACTTAATTCTATTATTACCTTTTCCATTCCAAATTTTCAGTAAGGAGAGAAATAAACACATTAATTCTAGCCTCTTTCATTAATCTCATCGAAATATCTTTTTGTTTCATTTCAATTATTTCAAGTATAATCCTTTAATATTTATTTTAAAAATAAAGATAAACAATATGTGTTTGCCTAATAATAATAATGATAATGATAATAATAAAAAATGTTACCAATGTCTCTCCTTGATTTTAATAGTCTATATTAACTTATTAATTTAGTTGGTTCTTTAGTCTGTCATATTCCCTTTCCATTACACATTCTTTTTATAAATTCTAGATTAATGCAAGTTTCAACACTAAAGAAAAAAAAAACAAGTATAGGTTTCCCCCCCTTTTACTGCTTTGAGTGTGACACCTCAATGGTTAAAATATACCTTTATTCCCTCATTTTGATTCCCAATAAACCATTATTTTTAAGAACTTACAATAATAATCATTACATCTTTTCATTTGGATTCCACAGCATATTCCCCCCCTTAATTTTTAATAAGAGTTATCAGTATCTATATTACCCGATTTTCTAAATATTTTTAATTGCAGAAATATTCTTATTACTCCTTGTCACCCTGCAGAATCCCCTTTTTAATTAATCAACCATTATCTCTAAAAAAAACAATTTCTTTTCAACATTTTACTATTTCCATATTTCTTTATTTCATGCACCTGTTTCTTACTGCTTCTCCTCCCCCTCTTTTCCCCATATTTTTTCTCATTCCAGTTTATATCCCTCTCTTTCTTAATATCTTCCTTTCCCCTTTTCTGCTGGGTCTTTCTGCCTTTCCCAACTTCACAGGTATTCCCCCTTTTGATTGCCTTCTTAAATCTCAACTTTTTAACCTTCCTTCTTTCCCCACTTCTTTATAGTGTTCTTTGTTTTAATTGTCTATTTAAGATGTCTTCTCCTTGAGTCGACTCCTCTTCCTCTGAAGCTCTTCTTGTTCTTCAATCGCCATTTCCATTTTTTCTAACACAGAACAAAGTGATTTGCCTCTTTCCTGTAGTAATTCTCTCATATTTTTAAGTTCCATTTTTAATTCCCGAAGAGATATCATCATTACACACTCTTGTATTTTATGATCATTAACGTCCACAAAAAACACCTTTACTTTCCTTCTTTCTTCTTTCAATTTTCTAAAGTTCTCAGTTATTCCAGCCCAGGGTCTATACCAAAAATATCAGTCAATCCCACAGTCAGTCTTTCCTTGCTTTTTTCTTTATTCTGGTTCTGCTTTCACTTTCTAAGATTCTTACTTTGTTTCAATATTTCTTTAATGTTATATCCACACAAGTTCATTCAGAAACAGGATGCTTTCCCTTTTGTTTGAGCTCAAGTTTTTGTCAGAAGGTGGCACTCTCCATTGTACAAAGTCTTCACCTTTTCCCCCTATTTTTTTATTTAGGGTTTTTCGAACCTCAATATTCCAGCACAGTCCAGTCTTCAATTTGTAAACTTTATTATTATTATTTTTTGACAATCTTAAGTCCAGCTTTATTTTATGCCTGTTTATTGCCAA